TGGCTAGGTTTCTGATTATTCTATCACCCTAGCTCTTGGAGTGAGTTTTCTGCTTTATACGATTGAGGTAAGTAAATTTATAGTAATGCCCATACGGTTTTTAAAAGCATGTTTTGATTTGTTTTTAAAGTGGTGGCAAGACTAAATCTGTTTTATGCAAAAGTAAGTATGATTGATTTAAAGTGAAATTTTTATGCTTTTCATTAAATTGAGCATGCCTACTTGCAATTTAATTGATTGTCTTGATGATTTGAAAGTGATTGGTGAATTATGAATTTTCTGCTAACTTCTGCCTGTTTTGTCTCCGATGTGGTTATGTTATTAATGATCTTGCTAGTGGGGGTTAAACGCTAGCACATGTCGACGTGTTATTGATAAAACCAGTTCGTTTGAGTGACCCTGTTAGTGGGGGTTATACACCAGCAAATAGTGTAGCTTGCCAGTAGGAGGTTTAAAACATTGACCATGACCAATAGAGGAGTCGTCTATTTCGTTCCTGTGCTGTATCTGTTTTTCGTGATTGCACTTGTTGGCATGCTATAAGTTTAATAAGGGCACTCCATATTTTACCTACTGAGTTATCTTACAGTTTTCTTTGTCCACCATTTTAGGTAATGAGACCCGACGCATAGGGAGCTCTGGGGAGTGACGAGCTAGACGGCTAGGCACTTTTGGATTTAGATTTTTGTAGCTAGGCCGTTAGTCACCATGCTTGACTTAGAAATTTTGTGTACAAAACTTTCTTAATTTTAGTCATGATCGTATATATGAAGTGATAAATTTTGTACATCTTGATTGGTAAATATTTGATAAATAAAAAGGTTTAGATTTGAATTGTCTAAATTGCTAAGTAAGAACTCAGTAGGCTCCGAGCCTTCTGCATTTGTGGGCCTCGCTCATGAGTGCACGGCATTTGTCTCGCTCTGAGGTTTGGGGCGTGACAGCACTCAACTTCATAATAATGAAAATAGCTAGATGTTGAACTAATAGTTTTTTAAGACGACTAAACGTGTGGATTTGTAATCAAGAAGTGGATGGAATTTTACTTGAATAAGTTGTTGAATCACATCTTGTGCACTTGTAACCTCTACCTCCTTGAGATTCTCAACATATATCCCTTTATTATTGTCCTCTCTTATCTGCAATATAACCACCAAAACGTGGTTTTCTGGCCTGTATTAAGAAAAATCAAGGCATAAGGTGTTCAGTTTATGATGTTCAAACAATTTATTTGGTCAAAATGCCTCCCATTGATAAGAATTAAACATGAAGCCATAAAACAAAAGGCTAATAATTGCAATAACAGGCAGGTTACTGATACCTGTAAATTGTTGGATGATGGGTCCAAAAGATCAAGAATCTGCTCATTGTATATTTCCAAAAAAGAGCATTTACAAGTGAATCTTAGCCTTTCATCTTTACGAGTCTCTTTTTCCTGGCATGCCAAAAAAGGAATATTAATTCATTTCTGACATCAAAAACGGAGAAGGAAAATAATTCGATTCAGTCAGGCTATCTTCATTGGTACTTAGCCCCAGTTCACATACCTTCTGTATTCTAGAGAACAAATATTCAAATACTCTGGGTGTCATCCCACAATTGACACTGTGTCTTTGAGTGCCTTCCTCAATGTCTCCAAGCATTGTATGAGTTTTCCCACTTCCAGTCTATTCATAGACAATGTAGGTTGTGTCAGCCAATCAACACCACAACAAGAACAAAAACTAAATCAAATACTATCATAGCACAGCCACCTCATAAAATTAAATTTACTTTTAAATGAATCACCTGAAAGCAGAAAGCTCCAAGAATTACTACTATGTGAAATTCCACATTTGTTTCATCAGTGTTTACACATGCCATGCCATAACCTTTTTTATTCAGACAACAAAATTTAGCACTGCTTTCGTTAGAAACTCACTTGGTCATATGCAAACATGCAACTGTTGTATCCTCCCACACAATTTTCCACCATCGGCACCCCAGCCACTTTGAAGAGATTTTCCTGTTCTGTTCCAAATCATATCTACAATTTTGTAGAAGCCACTAGAGAACAGATAAAATCAACTTATGAAAAAGTCTACCTGGCTTACATTCTCATCAGCAACAAGATCAAAGGTAAAACGGGATTCAGGATGTCCCATCCAAGTAATTGTCTGACAGCTCTCTTGCTTAACACACTTGTTGTAGCCTTGTAATGAGATCTCCGAACTATTAAGAGGTCGGACTCTAATGATAACCTAATTTAACATCACAAAAATAAAAACATCAAAGGCAATTCAATATGCAGAAATTAGTTGTTCAGTGTTTAATTTAGCCATTTCAGGTGCAGTATCACAGCTCGAAGTAAGCAGTTCCATCAAACACATCAACTGACCTGAACATTATGTTCCTTCCAAAATGCAGGATCCTCTTGAAGCTCAAAGCTCTGAGATGGCGGCAGTGCTGGTGCAGTGGCGCTGCTCGTGTCATCATTCCAGTTGTCAATACTCCGAGCAGCCGACATTGCCCGAAATGAGTGACCGGCATCCCTTGACGCTGATTTCACCGCTACATCTAGCGTTCTACACACCGGAAGCATAGATTCCGAAGACGAGTGGTCTTGGAAGCCAAATCCAAATCGACTCTTGATTGCGCTTGCAGCCTCTGAAATAAACGGCATTATGTTTGTAACGAAGGGAGAATCACCGTGTCCGATTAAAGGAAGTTTTAGGGCTTCAGATGCAGAATAATTGCTGGATTTTGTTGGAAAAGAGAGTGCATAGAAGAGGCGCTTTTCGGGAGAGATGAACCAGAGATTTGATATAAACTTTTTGAGGGAAAAGAAGAGATTCTGAGGAGAAAGAGGAGGGATTTGGATGTAAATTTGAAATTGTTGACAGTTTTTAATTAATTAATTATTAAAATTTTGGAACCCACGACCCAGACGGCGGGTTGAATTTTTTTTAATGGAAAAAATTCAAAAAATCATATCTTACGCCCTTTAACTAACTCTGGCAAATAAAGAAAAAAGCCCTTAAACTAACTTCATTTTCCCCACATAAGTCCAACTATTTTTTATCTTTAATTTTGTTGAATTACTAAAATGTTCCAACTTTAGCTAAACATTTGCAGGAAGGAATTTAACCATTTTAAACGGAAAAGGGTAATGCCTAGGGTGAAGAACCAAAGTCAAAAAAGGAACTAAATGAGCTGATTCTCATTTGGTACCAACTCAATTAATAAGTCTAACTCTTTTCTTTTAACCCTATTATGAATTATCCACTCCATCCACATGTCTTCATTAACTAAAATCTCTTACTTTCACCGGCCACTAAAGGCTTTGGTGTTAACATAATAAAGTTTAGCAGTACAAGATTATAACAGCAACTTAATCATGTATAGTAAAACAAGATTGTGACAGAATTTACAAATTTCATTCAGTTACTTTAGGATCATTACAAGAGAGGGTGGGGAGATTTAATGGGTGAAGGAAGGCCAAAAAATATGGACTAGAAAAAGAATTTAAGTGTCATCAGTGAACCTATCTTAAGGATAAAAATTTATATGAGGTTATGGCCGGGGAAGCTGCTGAAGAAGTCACAAACGTTTGGAATATCCAGAGCCTCCGCACTTCTTACAGAGTATCAATCCTACAAGAACAAGGTTAGAGATTCAGAAAAAAAAAAAAAAAAAAGAACAAGATGCTAAATCAATGTGTTATATATCTAAATAAAGGAAGATACATCTTACCTGCACCTTTGCATACCCTACAATCAATCAAGCCTGTCTCTTGCTTCATTTTGCCATTTTCACAAAAAACACATTTTGTGCCACCTGTATCGATAATAGAGAAGACACAGATATCAGCTTGCTTCCTCTGCATGGATAAATGCAATGTTGCCCTAAGCGTCAAAAGGGACATCCCATTGAGACACTTTATTATACTAACAAGTAGTGCAGGAGCCGATTCCTAACCCTTGATCAACAAGGAAAAATATAAAAGTTACATACACATAATGCAGGAAGCTAAACTAATTAAAGAAATGTTATTTCAAAACTGTTTTCCACACTCATCATCTTCAAGATTTTGTGGTTAAGTTTAAAATTGTGACCCTCCTGTTTTCAAACATGTCATTTATATTATTTTTTCTCGGAGCAATTTCACTTTAGTCCTGATTAGACACCTCTATGAACCATACGTAAACCACATTCTGCATATACTAGGCATCATATTTTAGCTCACTTAGTCACTCTGAACAAAGGAAGCCTCCTTCTGTTTTAGTATACCAGTCATAAAGCTTCACACCAACAATCAGGCAGTTCCCATTAAAATATGCTGACTTCAGGATAGATTAAGACTTGCTTTTATCCTGAGTAACATGCTAATGTGCTAGATTGACACGATCTTCCAAAAATGGGATGAAACTACACACGCATCCATTGTCCCCAAACCTATATAATCTTCAGTGCCTAAGAAAGAGCAGAATCAATCCATGAATACTGAATTGAAAATCAGAGTCTAGAACACCTAAGGGCATTAAATAAGGCATAATAGATCAGTTATTTGCAGAGCATCAAACATATACTATTAGAAATATATGATTAAAAATGGAGAACATCCAATTTATTCACAGAAACTAAAAGGGCCAATCTAGTGCCAGTCTCTCCTAACATTGGTGAAACCATTGATGAATTTTTTACAGAAAAATTATCAAAAATCAGGATTCAGCCATTCAGATAATGAACAATATAACAGGTCATAATCAATAAATAAATAATCTAGATATTAATCATGCAAAAGGTTTCAATTACATTTTTGTAGAAGATAACAGAAAGAAATTTTACAACTTGAAAATTATATATCACGAGTAATCAGCTAAAGAAGTACCATTTCCTGCACAGCGGTCACATGGTACAGGATCCCCCTGCAGAAAAATCCACAAATTGCACATTCTCAGCCCAAAAAGTTGTTACTTTTAAGACACACAGAAGATGCTTACAAGTGAAGGGCGAGGAACATTCCACATTACCTTAAGTCCCAGGAAAAGAGAGAGCGCAATGGCCGCCAAAACACTGATGGTAGCGAGGAAAGTCTGGGTATCTAAGGGCCTATCTAGGCCAGTGAGCAACAAAACCGGGTGAAGATTAAGCCTCGTAGGTTGATAAAAGAGCTTTCTCCGACTACACCCGCGACGGTACAATTTGGGAGTTTCCGGTTGGGCTGTGGGGAAATGAGGAGGGAAGTGATTTGAGGAAGACGAAGAGGGTGATGGGCCAAAGAGATTCAGGGAGAAGGAGAGCGTAGCCATGGATAGAATTGTAGAAACCGTGATGAAACATGTGGAGATGAGCGCTTTTTTTTTTTTTTTTTTTTTTTTGTGAAAAATAAGTGTACAAGTGCATCACATCGACGGAGTTACCCCTAAATTTGTGTGATAATTACAACCAAAAAAGAAGGATCCGCATGGATCGGGGGTTTGAACCCGACGTGAATCGAACACGCAACTTTCTGATCTTGTGGTGGTACCATTGAAAAAAAAATTTATATAATTTTTTATATAATATTTATATATTATTAAATAAATAAATACATTTAATATTATATATAAAAAAATAATAATAAAATTATTTTTCCTTACGTGGAGTCAGATGCGCTGCCATTACGGCACGGATGTTCAGATGCTACACCCTCCAGGAGATTATATTTTATAAAAAAATACGTAGAGTGTTCCTTGTATTCTTTGGGTGTGTTTGGTACTCGTGCGAGGTATTATAAATGTAGTTATATTAAATTATATTGTATTTTAATTATATTTAAAAGTTATTTTGATATTTAATTTTTTTTATAATATTATAAATAATATATGATAAAATTTATTAATTATTAATTAAAATTTTAAAAATATTATATAATATAAAATTATTAAAATAAACAATATTTATTATTTTATAATAATTTAAGTTTTTTAAGTTTTATATGATAGGTTTTTTTGTGTTTTATAGGGAAGCAGTTCAGAAGGGGGAATGAGTTTTTATTTTTTATTTTTTTATAGAATCTTCAAATAAACGACAAGTTACGTTTAAATAAAGTATTATAAATTATAGTGTAATTAAATTAAATAAGGTTGGATTTTAATAAATAATTTTATAATTATATTAAATATTAAATATTATGTGTTATTCATAAAAATACAGTAAAAAAACTCCAAAATAAAGTTTCTAACTTTATATATAAAATGATTATAAATTTGCTGTGTCTTTTTAATATAACTTTTGAAAAAATTAGCACAAAAAAAAATTATTAAATACATATATATCTAAAAGAAGAATGATTCATGCACTTGCCAATTTAACATCCTGCGGTGCACACTCCATAAATCGAACATATTGTAAATGTAAAATTACAAATTTACCCTTAAAGCCATTTTCTTTGTCACAAAACCCATTTCCCAAATAACAACAAGAACAAATCATTTGAATCCCAACAAAACTTAATCAAGCATTCAAGCACCAAATCAAAATCTTGAGTAAGTTTCTTAAATGACAGTAACACCAAATCGGTGGAAATTAATTTCTCAAATAACAACAATACCAAATCTTGAGGAAGAATTCATTTTCTCACAAAATTATTCTCGATTTAGCCCATGATTTTGTAACCCATTAAACACATAAAATAGGTTTATTTTTGGGATGATATAGTAGAAAGTGGAGTGTATGTGAGTGGAGCCAATCAGTAGAAAAGGGAAAAGAAAACAAGGTAAACTTTTATAATTTTGGTACTATGCGTAGCTTTGTTATTTTGTCTGATCTGCAAAAGTTCATTGTTGGATTGAGCTAAAATTTTGTTTGAGTGTTCAAGAGACATTGATTTACATTCTGAATAGTTAATTTTTCGTTTGGAGCTTTGTAGGTTTTGATTTTGTGTCGAGAACAGTAACTTATTTTTTGTCTCATTTTTGGTGATTTGCTTTTCTTGTGGTCTCATTTTCTTTGTTAGTTTGTGGCCTGTTATTGCTCTTATTTGGTGTTGGGCTCTTCACGAACCTAGGTGTTAAAGAACTTGTTCATTTCAGTAGGCAAAAAGAGAGGGAAGAACAGAGGGAAGGGAAAGAAAGTTAAGAAACTAGTGTTAAATTGTTGAAGAGAGAGATGGAGAGACAAGAAGAAAAAGGGGTTTTGTGAGGAAGAAGATGGCTTTAAGGGTAAATTTATAATTTTACTTTTACAATATGTTCGGTTTATGGAGTGTGCATTATTGGGTGTTGAACTAACAAGTGCATGAATCATTTCTCATATCTAGAAACACTATAATTACAAGAAAAAGCCCTCGACCACAATTTTATTTGCACCCTTAATCTTAATCTAAAGAGTAATAACTCTTCCCTCTTCCTATCTCTCTCCTCAATCTTCCTCTCTCACTCTAAAAATAGAATTGATCTGTGGCAATTTTGTAAATTTTTTAGTGTTTATGGGCTTTTGGTTGAGTTAATAGCAATTAGTGTAATTTTTGTAAACTTTTTATCTATTTCGTATTTGTATTAAAAAAGTTATTTTGTCTTTGTGTGATGGCTTTTATTGTAAATATTGTCGATTTTATGTTTTCTTTATTTTCATAAAAGGTTTATTTTGGCTTTGATTGACAACTCTTCTCGTGTTTTAGCTTTTAGTTTTTGTATTTTTTTTATTTTAAAATATATAAAATGTTAATTAAAATAAATATTAAATATATTTTATATATTTTTAAGATGTTAAATAACTAAAAAAACTTATAACTACAGTTATAAGTTAGCTTGTCAAACTAGACCTTTGTTTTTTTATTACAATTGCAATTGATGTAATTAATTTTTATTTTCTATCATTTTGTATTTGTACGAAATTTTTAAAGGTTATTTTAGTAAAAATTATTATTTTTTACTTTATACAATATATTTGCATAAAAAAATTTATTTGGTTTAATTGTAAAATCAAATATATTGTAAAGAAAATAAATTTGGTTTGATAGGAGTAATTATACTTTCATGTATTCTTATCATATAATATTAAATATTTCATTGTTATATTTTTAGTAAATCTAATTTGATTTTTTGACTTTTTTAATATAAATTTTAAATGAAAATTTAACATATTATATAAATTATAATTGAAATTTTTTTAATCAAATTAATGCACTAAACAAGAACTTTATATAGGAAGAAAAAACTTTTCTATTATTATTTATATAAGTTATTAAATTTTGATTTGAAATTCATATCTAAAAAGTCAAAATGTCAAACTAGATATACTAAAAATAAATGAAGGGAGTGTATATATATATTTATATTAATTTTTTATTGTATAATAAGAGACAACCATTTCTCATGTCTTAACTTTACTCATTTGTATATCATGTGATTCAAACTCATGATTTCTTATTTCTTACAAAAAGAAAAAACTACTAAACTACTAAGAGTGTTGGCCACATAGGATTACCCATTTCAATCAGATTTAGTTGTCTTAATTTAACTTTTATATAAGATTTAACCAAATAATTTTATATAATTAAAAAAAAAATTTCTTTTTCATACATATATAGTACTTGTTGAGTATTTTTATTTAAATAAAAATAATTTTAATTGTAATTCATTTACTATATAAAATCATCAAGTTAAATTTTATGTAAAAGTTAACCGAAACCACTAAATACAATCATAGATAGTTATTATTAAAAATTTTCTTAAATTAATTAAAACTTTCTCAAACTAATTATTTAATGTGAGTTTTTTTTCTTAGAATTGTAAAAAGTCAAGACGCCCTAAAAATTATACTTTTGCAAATAATAATGAAATACTTAAATATACTTAATAAATCAATACACAAAAACAATTCATTAAGGACTGAACAATTTCAAAAGTAATTATGTCAACTAAAATGTTAAGAAATCAAGATTTCCTCCTTTTCTTTTCTTTTCTTTGTGTTTTATTTTATTATTTGTTTTTAATAATAATTTTTTTCTTTTAAAATATAAATATATCCTAATAACCACAAAGCAAGTTAGATAATACTGGTAAGTAGTATAAGAAGGGTAGAGTCAAACTCTACCCTCTTCCTTTTTCTCTCTTCTCTTCTTTTATTTCTCTAAAAATAAGTTTGACTCTGTGTCAATTTTGTAAATACTTTACTTTTTGAAGGTAGTTTGGTGGATAAAAGTTTTAATTTGGGCAATGGTAATTAATGTAATTTTTGTAAAAATTTGTCTATTTTGTAAGTACTACTAAATACATTTTACTTAATTTATATCTTTTTCTATTTGTATGGAATTTTTTTATCTTCATTCTGTTGAAGCTATTTTTCTTTTTTCTTTATTTTATTTTATTTTATTTTGGATTGCATAATAGGAAGCAATTCTCTCTTATCTCTCAACCCACCCCACCTACATGATATGTGACACAAATTCAAGTTCTAACAAAAAAAGATTACTATTGAATTACTTAAATTATTAGTTTTAAAGCTATTTTTCTAGTAGTTATTTTTCTAGTTTATATACTAGGCTCCAAAATTGCACCATGTGCAATTCATTTATATTATTCATTTTAGGAATTACTAAATTGAAAAGGAGTTTTACAATCTAAACTATAAAACATTAACCCTTGGATGGGGGAGAGCCCTCTGGTTTTGGGGGCTTTTTCCCATCCAATAGCCTTGTTTTACAATTTGAAATAGTTCAGATTATAAAACAATGAACTCTTACTAAATATAATAATATTAATTCTTAATTTGAATCATTTTTTTTATACTAAACCTCGATATCCAAAAGTTATAGTGGATCTTGACTAATTTAGAATTAAGTTAGATCAAATCTCATAAAAGGAGAAGCTCCTCCAATGCTTATCTCTTCAGTTATAAGATTTAAACTCACGACTTATTTAATTGGAACTAAATTCCTTTCTTTCAGACCAACAATTTGTTGGTTAGAATCAATTTTTAATTAATGAATATAAAAATAATTTTAAACATATATTATTTTATTATAAGTAGATCGATATTTGATTTTCATATCAATTAGAATTTTTTAAAATAAACACAATACAACAGTATACCGAATCTTCTTTAATTTCTTTTATTGTTGTAATTATAATTATTACTAGAATTAGAGGATAATGGTATTTGTGAAATATTGTAAGAATTAGAGGATTCCACTACATCGTGAAACTGAGGGATTGGGTTCAAGCGGCTAGATTTTATCACACTTTAATGGGATAATGGTATTTTCCTCTTTTAAAAGACAGACACATCTCAACAACACATGAGCCGATTTGATAATATGCCAATACTCTTACAATTAACCAATGATCTATTGGTCTGAGTTGAAAAAATTCGATTCTTCTTAAATAAGGTTTTGAATTTTAATCTTGTGAATGAAGAAATAGGCGTGGGAGAGCTTCTTCTTAATTAAGTCCGACGTGACTCAATTCCAGATTAATCGGACCCAATGTGATTATCGGATATCCGGAGGTTAATACAAAAAAAAAAAAAAAAACTCTTATAATTAGAGTTGCCAAACTATTCTCCCCTTTTCTTCAAACAGTACTTGTCTTTGATGTTTTTAGTTTGAAAAGAAAAGTCTCCCTCTTTGTAACGAGAATAGACTATTTAATGCCCAGATTGTCCTGAAGGGTTCTTTCTGCTGAACGTACATTTGCATATATGCATGTACACCTTTTGCATTCTTCCAAAGCCTAAAATTAAGGCATTATCGATGCAGTGCAAACAAGACAACCAACGAAACAAAATGGAGTTTTCCATAAAATCAGTAATTTATTTTATGAAATTTATGCAAGTAGAGAAACCACATATATTCTTTGTCCAAAAGCTTAATTTCAACACGAAAGTAGTCTCTAATTCTAGTTATTTAATTCACATGATCTTCTCAATTTCTAATATCCTTAAGATATTGTTTTTTGATCTTTTTAAGCATTGCTACGACATCCGTCATATTTCTCCTTACTTTGGGTGCTTCTGCACAACAATTCAAAGCTACTTCCAGAACCAATTGTACACAATTTACTTTGGCAATGAAATGCTTTTCCCCTACCATCAAATTGGCATCCACAACCTCATCGGTTCGTGAGCGACATAATGATTCATTCACCCATGCCTTCAAGCTCATTTCTCCAGTAAACATTTTGTCTGTGGGCTTCCGTCTTGTGAATGTCTCCATGACTAAGATGCCATAGCTGTAAACGTCCCCTTTTGTAGAAACCATTCCCAATGATCCAAACTCTATATCAAATTATAATAATATTATGTTTAATATTTAACAATGAAACATTTCCAAAAAAAAGAAAAAAGAAAAGAAAAATGAATGATCACCTGGTGCCATGTAACCTATAGTGGCAATTTGCATTGTCTGCATCAAGGATGCCCCTTCTCCCAAAAGCTTGGCAAGGCCAAAATCCCCCACATGTGCAACCATATCTTCATCAAGCAACACATTGCTAGGTTTCAAATCACAATGGATGATTGAAACTGATTGTCCATGGTGAAGATAGTCTAGAGCAGAAGCCACATCAATTAGTATATCCAATCTTTGCAGGATATTTAAACAACATGTATTAGAATATAACCACTTTTCCAAGGTTCCATTAGGCATGAACTCAAGCACCAAGGCCTTGAAGTCTTCATTACAGCAAGTGCTAAAGATTTTGACTAGATTTCGATGATGAAAACTTCGTAATACTTCACATTCTCTGTCAAAACTCTTGAGTACACCCTCTACTTGCAAATTGAAGACCTTTATTGCAACGTTCATTCCACCTGGAAGTGTCCCATTATATACTGATCCAAAACTCCCTGCACCAAGTAAGTTTGTTTCATTGAATTTGTCAGTTGCATGTTGAAGCTCCTGGAATGAAATCCTTTTCCATTTTGTTAGACTCGGCAAAATTTCTTGATCCGTTGATTTTGCTTTTGATTTATCTCGTCTTTTGAAGATGATGATGATGAAGGTAAGTATCAAAATGGTAGCTGCTATAGGTGGCAACACTAATCTTAGCACATGAGTGGATTTCTTTTGTGACTTACATGGAGGAACTTGAAATCTTGGCAAACCACATAGAGCAATGTTTCCAATAAATGATCGAGCAGAGAAGTTTCTAAATGATCCTCTATATGGGATTTCTCCTTCAAGTCTATTGAAAGATACATTGAAGAATTGGAGATAGGAAAGTCCTTCCAAAGACTTAGGAATTACTCCAGAGAAAATATTGTTAGAGAGATCTAAAAATTCCAAGCTTACCAACCCATCAAATGATTGAGGAATATTACCTTCTAATGCATTTTCTGCCAAGGAAAGATAAGTTAGATCTTTGAGATCCCCAATAGTGCTAGGTAAATTGCCTGATAGCTTATTTCTAGACAAATCCACATTAGTCAAGACCCTTAGGTTTCCAAAATCTAATGGAATAGGGCCACTAAATGAATTTGATGACAAGTATACTTGCAAGATATATTTAAGACTCCAGAAGGTTGAGGGTATGGTAGAACCTAAGTTGTTGGAACTTAAGTTTAGATATCTTAGAGAAGTCAAATTGGCTAAGCACTCTGGCATGGATCCATTGAGCTTATTCCAACCCATTCCCAATAGATCTAAGCTCTTTAAATGACATAGATCGTTTGGAATTGTTCCTTGAAGTCTATTACTTCCAAGATCCAAACCTTGGAGCTGTTGCAATCTTCCAATTGTTGCTGGAATTGGTCCAGTCAAATTATTACCAAAAAGACTCAAAGTTATCAAATTGCTCAAGTTGCCAATTTCTACGGGAATGTTCCCTTGGATTTTGCAATCCCATGCTTGAAAATATTGAAGAGACATGGATAGATTCCCAATTGAAGTAGGAAGGATGCCATTCAATGAATTATATGATATGACAAGAGTTTTCAGAAATCTGCAATTAACCAAAGAAGAAAGGAAGCTTCTTTCTAGAGTTGAGAATTCCTGGAACATGTTACCACCTACTTCAAGAATTTTAAGGAATCTTAGATGGCCAAGTGAATTGGGGAAAGGGCCATAGAATGAGTTTTGGTTTATGTTTAGAATGGTAAGCAGGGAAGAATTGGAGATAGAATTTGGAAAGTTTCCACTGAGTCTATTTTGAAACAGATATAGCTCAGTAAGCTTTGGCAGCCTAAGTCCGATGGTTGAAGGAAGATGGCTTGAAAGGTTATTCCTTGCTAAGATAATTTGCTCCAAGGTTGAGATATTGAAGATCATGGGAGGAATAGAACCAGTCAAGAAGTTGAATCCCATATTCAGAAGCCTCAAGGGTAAGTTGCCAACCTCCTCTGGTATTTCACCTGTCAAACATATAAGCAAATTAATTGATAAGCTTTTTAACTTGTATTTAATTTTTTGCAAAGATAGAATTGTTTAATGAAGATAAGAGATGAAGAATTAATTCTAGAAAATGTGTTGGCATTAGATTGGTTTCTATCGTACCTCTTATTACTCTGTTGCCAATATAAATTCTTCGAAATTAGTTATGTTCCCAATGTTTAATCTCATATTCCCAATGAAATCATGCCTCTTATTATGTATCTCAAAGATATACTTCTCTTAGCTTGTTCTAAATATAGTTCTTGTAAATTAGTTGTTTTCTACTTTTAGAATCTCCAACTTTGAAAGCAAACTAGAACTATGAAGAATAAACTCAAAAAATTAAGGTGATTTGCATTACATTGATACTTGTAAGGAAATTTTTACCAATGCTTATAATGTTGAGAGTAAAGTGCAAAAATTTATTAATCTCATATATTATGAAGATGAAAACATATTAACTAATCTCACCTTCCAAGTTGTTATCACTGAGATGTATTTCAATAAGTTCGGTCAAGTTTCCAATGCTTCTTGGGATGTATCCAATGAATCTATTAACCGCTAGATACAAATCCTGAAGCTTCTTGCATCTGCCTATACTTGAGGGAATTGAGCCTTGTAATTGATTCTGATGCAAATAAAGTCGCTCAAGATTTGGCAGGTGGTAGCACAAGTCAATAGGAAGGGTACCAGAAAGTCTATTTGTGTAGAGAATAATACGCTTTAAGGAAGAGATATTGAAAATATTTGATGGAATGAGACCAGAAAGGCTTGCATTTCCAACTGCAAATACCTCCAAATTATGAAGATTACCTATCTCCTGTGGTATTTCCCCTGCAAAAAAAATTGGGAGCTTAGAGTTTAATTGAGGAATGATGAGTCTCGGCTTAATTTTTAGTAGATACTTTCAACGAAAAAAAGACAAATTAGAAAGATACGAAATCACACCTCTTAGTTTCATACTTATCTCAAAGAGATGTTTCTCTTAGCTTGGTTCTAGATATAGTTCTTATAAATTAGTTGTTTTCTACTTTTAGAATCTCCAACTTTGAAAGCAAACTAGAACTATGAAGAATAAACTCAAAAAATTAAGGGGACTTGTATTAGATTGATACCTGTAAGGAAATTTTTACCAATGCTTATAATGTTGAGAGTAAAGTGCAATTACTCAAAATTTATTAATCTCATATATTATGAAGATGAAAACATATTGACTAATCTCACCTTCCAAGTTGTTATCACCAAGATATATTTCAATAAGTTCGGTTAAGTTTCCAATGCTTCTTGGGATGTATCCAGTGAATCGATTAGCTACTAGAGACAAATCCTGAAGCTTCTTGCATCTGCCTATACTTGAGGGAATTGAGCCTTGTAACTGATTCAAAGACATATAAAGTTGCTCAAGATTTGGTAGGTGGTAGCACAAGTCAATAGGAAGGGTACCAGAAAGGCTATTTGCGAAGAGATAAATCCATCTTAAGGAAGAGATATTGAAAATATTTGACGGAATGAGACCAGAGAGGCTTGCTTTTCCAGCTGCAAATTTCTCCAAATTATGAAGATTACCTATCTCCTGTGGTATTTCCCCTGCAAAAAAATTGGGACCTTAGAGTTTAACCAAGGAATGATGAATCTCAGCCTAACGTTCAGCGTATACTAACAAAGAAAAGAAGACAAATTGGAAAAATATTAAATCTTGCCTCTTATTTTTGTTTCTCCAATAGATATTATCCTTAGCATAGTTAAGTTACCAATGTTTCTTGATATGGTTCCTGTAAGTTGGTTGTCTCCTACTTTAAAAATCTCCAACTTTGAAAGCAACCAAATGTCATCTGGGATGCTTCCATAAAGAAAATTGTGGCTCAAGTCCATGAGTCTCAAACGCTGCAGCTTCCCAAATTCTAAAGGCAAATGGCCATGGAAGTTGTTTCCACTCAAGTTGAGAGAAACAAGGAATGAGAGGTTTCCCAGTTGGGGAGGGAGGCTGCCAGTGAGGTTCATGTTTGGAAGATCCAAGGTGGTGACTCTACGGTGAAGAGCACCGCAAGAAACACCAACCCAGTTACATATTGAGGTGGCAGAAGTCCAGTTGGAGGACATGATATTGAGAGGATCAGAAGTGATGTGAGCTTTGAATTCAAGAAGGGCAAATTGGTCTATGGCGAAGTTTGGTTGAGACATGGCTAAGGCAGCCATAAAGCATCGCATCAACAACATTGGAAGGAAGATAAAGCCCATGGTCGTGTTCTCCATTGATGCTGAAAAATACCTACAACTCAAAATCAAAGAGATGGCATTATAACTAACACTTTCTACGGGGCATTTGTTTTTTTTTGGCCCAGATAAACTTTTTCCTTACTTAATATATATTTTTGTTCTAAAATATTAAGCTGAAGAAAAAATTGTAATTAAATGTAACCAAAAATTAATGAATGCTAGTTTGATTTTAAATTAAACATTCGCTAATTAAAATGTCTTAGGTAAAATGATTGGTTTAAGAGATTTTGTTTTTTTATTGAATTGTTATTAACTTACTTGCCTCTAATAGTTATCAAATTGTTACGATGAGAAGGAAATGAGATGGATTAAAGAAAGAAGAGAAAAAGCTAGAAAATCTTACTTGCTTAAGTTGATTTCTGATCTCTAAACAATGCTCCGGAAACAAGCAAAAAGTATAGTGCTTAAACAAGAATAAATAGAAGTGCAAGGGAAGGCAGGGGCAAATTAAGAATATGCCAAGTGAATGTTGGTCTTTGCCCTGTCCCTGTCACAGCGTAACAAACAAAGTGTAGTACTTAAATGAGAATAAATAGAAGAGTAAGAGAAGGCAGGGGCAAATTCTTACGAATACGACCAGTCAATGTTGGTCTTTGCCCTGTTACTGTCACAGTCACGGCGTAACAACCAAAGACTTTGGAGGTCACCGAGAGAAGGATGATCTGGAGAGAAAATATGTATGTTTGTATATTTATTTTTCATTTTTAAACAGTTGGAAATTTGAAAATGGGAGGTTGAATTCGAACGCAGCACACGGGCTAGTACGAGAAATATAAGGCAGTAATCAAGCCAGTAATCAAGCCAATAATCAATCCAAGCAATATGTAAGTCCGGTAATTAAGCCGAGAAATCTTGTTTTTGGCTTCTTTCTCCAAATTTAAATCTTTGCTGCGGCTGAAAGCTTGTTTTTTGTCGGATCTACAAAAGGATGTTTGGCTTCTTTCCCCTGATCTAGCTATTAGGATGGCTGGAAGGTGCCTGCGATGGGTCACTTATTTCAAATTTGGATTAATTCATATGGTTTAGTTTTATTAGGGGGGACTAATTGTACTGTAGTAATGTAGTTGTATGGATAAAGTTATGTGCACACTCCCCTTTGAAAAAAAAAAATGCCCATCACCCACCCGGTCCAATTTTTTTTTTTTATGTGGGGGTGCACACCCGGGTGTTGGATCCGGGTGTGCAACAATCAGGGTCCGTAGTTGTATGCTTATATTCATTGGTTGTAGTACCCTTTATATATTTTAGTAATATTATTTTATTCGACCGATCAAAAAAAAAAAAAAAAAAAAAAAGAGAAGAAGGAGGAGAAATCAAAGACATACTTAGTAATAACTGTGCAGATTGTATTCTTACGTATCTCCTTTTTTAGAAGCATAATTCTAAGCAATCATCATGTATATAGAGATTGTACCTAGTCTAACGTGATCATCCAATTCTGGTTCAATTCCTTTCCTTCACTGCTCTTTTCATATATGGTATCAGAGCGTAGGGAGAATAACTAGACGTCAAGTTTTTGCCTAGATTTTGACAGCAAGTACTTGCTGCAACCATAAACTCAGATATGACAGGGAACGAGTTAAAGAACCCCAAGGTTCTAAAGACTACAGACCTTGATTCACCATGCACAATTACTGCTAAGCATATTTTTTATTTCTCGACTTAATTACTGGAGTGACATATCCTTAATTGCTTGGATTGATTATTGGCTTGATTATTGGCTTGATTACTGCCTTATAGGAAATAACGAGATGCACAGCACTTTTACTAAGTAGACTAAATTGAAAGTACAAGTAGGAAAACATGTTTTAGGGTATGTTTGGTTTTACTTCTTATAGTTTCAGCTTTTTGATACTATTCATATTTTATAAGTTTAAATTTTTTTCTTAAAAACTTATATTTTTAATTTTTTTTTTACATTAAAAAGATCTCAAATAATAAAAACTCAAAAGTTTTAAATCCAAATTTTTTATAAAATCATTTTTTAATCATTTTTTTTATCTTTAAAAGTAACTTTTAAATTTTCCCTCCAATAAAAATTTAAACTAATTACTCATAAACAATACTCAAAAAGCAAAAGTTCTGACAAGTTAACCAAACAGTCCTTAATAGAATAACTATTAATTAGTATCTTATTTTAATTTGCTTTATTTTTATGGTTTAATAAAAAAAAAATAAGCAACTATATCCAACAAAGCGTGACCAGAAAATCGTATTAAGCTAACCACGTACAAAGCCTTTGCATGTTTTTAAAAATCGGGAGGGGAATTGCAATCCCTTCAAACTAACTAAATGGGTAGAAAGGTGCAATCTGCCAGTCCCTTTCTCACTGCGAGTCTTCAGCATTTATGTTTGATGTTTCTACTAAATTGGCTTCTTCAGATCCACTCCTTGACTAGGATGATGAAAGTTGAGTTTGTGGTTTTTCATTTACTTCTTTTATTACAAAGGGTTTGCTTAACATGAATTTTAAAGGCATAAATCAATAGTATATTCTATATATTACATTAATTCGTATAAAAACACTAAAAAATAAACTTTATTTTTAATGCGAATGTCATATATATGATTTTAATTGAATAATTAATAAAAAATTAACTTTTTGCTTTTTATAATTCAATTGCATTGAGAGTTATTTACTTGATATATTGAAAAAAATTTGAACTTAATCTTGATCATAAATTAAAATTTTTTATATTTGTAGCTTTGCCAAAAAAAGAGTTTTTATGTTAGTGGTTGTTCAAAATAAAAAATGTTTTATAGGTAAAAATATTGGTTTGTAAGAATTATTATTAATAAATATTGCCAACAAATCATTATCATAGATAAAAATATGCACGAATCATTTTGAAATTGGATCCTATTCAATAAACAATACTAGGCTCGATGGCCCTCGTAAATGTAGTGTCGGTTTTGGTTGAAACTAATTTTTCTCTTAATTTTGAATTTTACAAGGTTATTTATATATTTTTATATTTTAATACTATAATGAGAAAAAAAATATTTTTAATTTTTATTTTTAAAAAAAATTAAAAAGGTTTTTCCTAACTTTTTCTCAAGCAATAAACTTTGTTTTCCACACTTTTTTATGGTGAAAAATTTTTCTCCAACTTTGCCATATGAAACCCATTTAATAGCTTTTCGATCAACTTTTCTTATACCATTTCCTTACTAAATACAAAAAGTTAATACTTTAACAAAATTTTAACAAAATTTCATACTAAAGCTTACATCCTCCATTTTAAAATAGCTGTCATTATTTAATTTTGAATTTATTCCAAATTAATTATCATATTTTCAGTTTTTAGGATGGACAAATATTTTTTATCCACTTTAACTTTATCATTATTTATTTATTTTAATCAATTATCCTATTATAAAAATTTTAATTTATCTTTTAACCTTTTCCTAAGAATAATATAAATAAATACATGAATTGTCTCTAAATTCTTAATTTAGAGAAAAAAATTTAAAAATTACCATTTTTTTTAAACCAAGAATTTTTACTTTTTTTTCCATTTTTTTTTAACAATTTTCTCAATAAAAACTTTTCCCAAATAGTTTGTCCAAAGTTTTTGGGCTGGGCAATTGGATGCCATCCATCGAAAAATATTAGTACTTATTATTATATAATATTTTAATATAAATCAAATAGCACTAAGTTTAAAGGCCAAACATTCTCAAACCTAGGTATTACTTCAATGGCCTAATTAAATGGAGAATGATATATATATCATACAAAATTATACAATGATAAAAATCATTAGTGTATAACAAAAATCGTTACTTTAAATAACATAAATTATAGAAACTGTCAGTTTTAACGGCATAAATAATAAAATTTTTAGTTTTAATAACACAAGTAACAGAAATCATTACTGTGTAATAAAGTGTATAACTTTGTATGGTGTATATATTATTTTTCTAATTAAATAAAAATCCCTATTAAATTATTATAATTAAATAAGAGGCTCGCCCACAGTGGTTCCATATATTCCCATTCTGACCGAATAAACTTTTTCACGGTTAATAGATATTTTTGTTTTGAAATACTTTCCCTATCTTAAAATAACTTTTATTTTTAATTTTTTTATAAATTAAAATTTTAAAAAATTTTATATATTTATTTATATTATTCTTAAAGAAATAAAATATAACAAAAGTCTTTTTTTTTTTTTTTTGATATGATGAATAATTAAAATAAACAAATAGGATTAAAGTTGGAAAATATAATTATCCATCTTGAAAAATGGATTAAACCCTTAATTGAGGTCCTTTGATATTTAAATTGGTACTTAAACTAAACAAATTCATGATTTAATCCTTAAACTTTTCAAATTTACCTCCAAGTTAGTCCCCTCCAGTAAAAAAGCTAATGTGTCTATAACTTGACAATTGAAGGCCGTTATTTGATGGCCATTTATTACATTAATAATAAAACATGTCAACTGTTTTTTAATGGAAGAACTAACTTGGAGGCAAATTTAAAAACTTTGGAAACTAAATCAGAATTTTTTTAAATTCAAGAACTAACTCAAGGGTTCAAACAATAGTTGAGGAATTAAATTGAGAGTTTAACCTAAAAAATACTTTAAAAAATGATAGTACAATTCATTTAGGATAAATTTAAAATAAAAAAATGACAATTATTTAGAATAGAGGTAGTAGTGTATATATTAAGCTAACAAAAAGTTTGTAATTAATTGTAACCTAAAAATTATTGATGCTATCTAGTTTGATTTTAAATTAAACAATATTTGGCGGTTAAAATGTTCTGTGTAAAAACATTAGTTTGAGAGG